GAATGACCTGCCACTGGAGTACAGTGATGCTCATAGAAAATCTTGTCCCGCCAACCACTAGATGGACTTAAAACAATCCTCCCTTTATACTTAAGAAAACCATTATCAAAATGGTACCGAGCTGTGGATGTGGAAGCACCATCAGAAGGTAACTCCCTAATTTTGTCCATTATCCAAGGATCTTGTTCATTATGCCTTCTTATATCATCCAACCAACCCATGTAAGGATAAGAGATGGCCGACAGTTCCCCATCCGAATGCATCCTAGAAAGAGCATCAGCAACAACATTATCACAACCTTGTTTATATTGTATCTCGTAATCGAAACCGAGAAGTTTAGAAATCCACTTCTGTTGAAAAGGGGTGTGAGCTCGATGTTGTAAAAAGAACTTCAGGCTATGGTGGTCAGTTTTAATTACAAAATGCCTCCCTTGAATATATGACTGCCACTTCTTGATTGCATGTACTATAGCCAACATTTCCCGTTCATATGTGGACATTGCTTGAGCTCGTGGGCCTAAAGCTTTGCTTGTAAAAGCAATTGGCCTCCCTTCTTGGTGTAAAACAGCACCAAGTCCATTATTGGAAGCATCAGTTTCAATAATGAAGGTTTTGGAAAAATCTGGTAAAGCAAGAACATGAGGAGATACCATGAGATATTTGAGAGCCTGGAAGGCCCTAATAGCTTCATCAGTCCACTTGAATGCATCCTTTTTTGTTAGTACAGTAAGTGGTCCACAAATCTTTCCGTAATTCGGAATGAATTTTCGATAATAACCAGTGAGGCCAAGAAAACCCCTGAGAGCCTTAACCGAATGAGGAAGAGGCCAATCTTGGATGGATTTAAGCTTACTTGGATCTGCTGCCACCCCTTGCCGAGACACCACATGGCCCAAATATTCGATTTGTGATTTGCCAAAGTCACACTTAGTTCGCTTGACAAACAATTGATGGTCTTGGAGAACTTTGAAAACCAGAGACAAATGGTGAAGATGGGATTCCCAAGAGTCACTGTACACGAGAATATCATCAAAGAAAACCAAAACAAACTTCCTCAAGTAGGGTCGGAAAATCTCATTCATCAAACTTTGGAAAGTGGCTGGGGCATTAGTAAGCCCAAATGGCATTACTAAAAATTCATACCATCATGGGTGCGAAATGCTGTCTTCTCAATGTCACTAGGATGGACCCTGATCTGATGATATCCTGCCCGCAAATCCAACTTCGAAAAAAATTGAGCACCAAACAACTCATCCAATAATTCATCAATTAAGGGTATTGGATACTTATCCTTTATTGTGATCAAATTTAGAGCTCTATAATCCATGCACATCCGCCAACTATTATCCTTCTTCTTAACTAACAGAACTGGTGAAGAAAATGGACTGTTACTAGCTCGAATAAAACCCAAATCCAATAATTCCTGAACACACTTTTCGATTTCAGATTTTTGTAAGGGACCATACCTATAAGGCCTAGCACTTGGAGGCTTGCTGCCTTCCAAAAGAGGGATTCTATGGTCATGAGAACGGGAAGGAGGAAGTGTGGTTGGTGCTTGGAATACATAAGCAAATCGAGATAATAAGCCATCTAACTCAGTTTCTTGAAGAACAGTGAGATCCCTAACAATAGCAACCTGAGTCTCGGGTTCTATGAAGAAAAGAACTACACCAAAATGACCTTGAGAAAGCAATTTCTCCACTTGACAGGTTGAAATGGACGTTGGTGCAGGAGGTGGAGAACTAGAAATACAATAGTGCTTCTTGCCCAATGTAAATTCCATTTTGAGTTTGTCAAAATCCCAAAGAATAGGACCTAAGGTTCTTAACCACTGAGCTCCCAAAACCACATCACAACCACCCAATTGTAGTACATAGAAATCAGAAATATACTCATATTGTTGAATCTGCAACTTAATTTGAGGACAACAACCTTTACTGGAAATAGTACCCCCATTTGCAATCATCACCTCAAAAGAATGTTTTGAGTCAACCTTCCACCCCAATTGTTTGGCAATAGACAAACTAATAAAGTTGTGTGAGCTACCCGAATCCAACAATACAATAACTGGGCAATTCTTGATTAATCCAGAGACCTTCATAGTCTGAATATGTTGAGGAGCCGATGAGCCAAAAACTGCACAAGCTGTGATTTCCACCTGTTGGTCATCATGGTCCTCACCATCGAAATCTTCAATCCTATTAGCAGAGACATCTAATAACAGTAGTTGTTGAGTAGCACAAACATGCCCCCGAACCCATTTCTCTGGACAAGAATAACACAACCCCTTTTTCCAACGATCTTGAAGTTCTTCAAAGGACATTTTTCTCACATTACTAGCCCTAGATGTGCTAGAATAAGAATTACTACCAGATAACAGAGGCACAGATTTTGAGTTGGTAGCATTACTGAAAGAAGAAGCAGAATTGCTGGAGAAATTTCGAACCTTGGTATCTGATAGTTTGATGTCCAATTGGAAGGCCAGCGCAATTGCTTCATGTACATCAGATGGGCGAAGCAATTTGACGTCATGACGTAACTCCGGTTTCAGTCCGCCAATGAAACAACCATGTATATCCCTCTCTATATTATTCAACAACTTCTTTAACAAGATACATGCCCTGCATTTGCACAAGTGTTCAGTATTTATACCAAACTGCAAGCTAAGGCGGTTACAAGGTATTTCCCAAATCTTATCTCTAACCAACAGATTATTATTGAAACTAACAAACAACAACTACTAACAGAGAAAAACACTAACACTCAATCAATTACTCAATTACTAACAGCATCCTATCATGACCTCGACGCCCTAGAATTTCTGATCACCGGACTCGACACAACACTACGGTGTTATTCTACCCCTCCCGACTTCCTAGTTAACAGATTGTTGTGTCGAACTGTCTTCTGTTGTGTTGTAGTGTGAATGTGAAAGCAGTTCTGGCTGTTGAGATTTGGAGAGGAAGGAGACAATCCTATGTTCGACGTAGCGGAGGAGAAATTTTTCACTGTGACCGGATTACGGATTGTACATCACAGTGTTTTTATATAAATAGTGGAAATTTTTATTTTTTAAGTTATTAACTTTTTAACACACATATCTCATCATTTATTTAGTGACACGTGGTGTACCATCCCTTGTACCTGTCACATTGAAAAATCTCTCGTGACCGAGAAGCCTGTAATTAAGAATATAATTTGCTATTTACTTTACTATTCAACTCATATTCGCAAGCAATTTCAGACAAGAATTCATTATTTCCTACTCAGTTTTAATTTTTCTTGATTGAAAATTATAAGTTTTTCTTGACAATCAATGAACTGAGCGAGCCTACACGGTCATAGTCCAACACAAATGTTTTATTCTTAGAAATAAAAATGTACCCTGAAAACAAACAAAAATATTATTTTTACCATCGGTTTGTATTCACATGTGTATCATCTCTCAATAGAGATGGAACCCACACATTTTGTAAGTCCTGCCCCTATTAGAACAATGGTACAAATAAATAGTAAATATAGCACAACTCGAAGAAAGAAAAGTAGTTACTAAGCTAACCTTTTAGATTTTATGTACCAAGTTTCCACCCCTTAGTAGCAGTAGCACACACTGGCAAATCTAGGATTCTAACACTAAGTGGTCATAATCAATGTACACTAGGCGCTAGTTGGGCGGCATGCTTGGGCCTAGAGCCTAGACGGGGTCTAGACGGGCTAGGCAGATTTAAGTTAATTTATTATTTATCATATAATCATATAAATAAGTGCTTATTTACAGGATGAAAGTTCAAGTGATTATAAGATCGTAGTACTTGAGATGTCATATGAATTTAGAGTGAACTTTAAAATAAATAACGGTGTCAAACATATTGTATAAAAGTATTGGTTGATTAATACATCATCTTTTTATTAATTAAAATGCTAGGTATCACAAGCTAATTGGAAAACAATTAAAAAAATGAGGAGTTGGTCACTTAGAAAACAGAGAGAGAAAATCTTTCTCCTTCATTGGAACCAAGGTGCAAGAATAGCAAAGTTATGGTGGTCTTCAAAGCTTATGTTGCACAACATCTGCACAACTATAGTGATTTTCTCTCTTCCACCACCTACTCAGTCCGTTGAGTGGTCCTCAAAGGTTCTCACAAACACTTCTTCAAATTTTTTAGTGCTCCCAGTACCACTCGGATCTGTACATGCATCTGCCTTTGGCAACACATGAGTTGATTAGAATATTAGCCCTAAGATGACGAGTTAAAAAGGAGAAATTTTCTCATATAATCTAGTCTAAATACAAATAAAGCCATCATTCAATAAATACTTGTTAATTGTTAGAAAACTGCAGGCGATCAATGATATGAGAGAATCTCTCGTAAGATAATTAAAGTTCGCAACTCATTCTCTTGTTATTAAAAGTCAATCCCCGTCCTAATCTTTCACCTAATCCTAGATCTTACCTAGCAACCAAACACTAGCGTGTTCATCACATGAGGAACAATTTTCTATCACCTACCACGTACACGCGTCAACCATGTGGCCCCAGTTGACCAAAACTCCGTTCTACACGGGGGGAATCAAACACGACAAAACTGACCAAATCCGCCGCTCCCTATCCCTTTTGGTTTTTTTTTTTTTTTAACTCCCAACGGGATTCTCTTCGGATTTTGGAACTTGTAAATCGTATTTATCGTACACCTTACGATTAATTTTTGTCAAAATATTATTTGGATTTAATTTTAAATAAAAATATTTAAAATGATTTCTAATCGTACGATGTACAATAAACGGACATCATTTACGGATTTCGAGAATCCGGCTAGTGTGGTTACTTTCTCCAAATTCTACGAGGACTTGACTTCCGCATTTACCCTTCAACTCTCTTTTATTTGCAAAAGTGACACGTTACTAACGCCATAGTCACAGTGTCATCCCCGCCAATTACAGTCGACTTTCAGTGGCAGTTTCGGGAATTCGGTTTATTTTACAGTTGGGGTCTGAAACCGAAGCTTCCTTGCTTTTCCTCCATCTCTGAAGAAGCTGTTGGTATTGGGCTTTTTGACTTTGATCAGAGCCACAGCTACCTCTGTTTCGCTGAAATTGCAGAGCGATTCTGATCTTCCGGATTGCGATTTATAAAGAGTATTCCTCGGACTCAGATTCTCGTGCTGAAATTATTTGCCAAGCAATTCATAATTTGACACTCTGTACCCAAATACAGGTATTTGTTTATGTATTTTTCTCTAATTTCTCTAATTCAATCTTGTTTTTCTTTTAATTTTTGGTGTAATTGGAGATATGGGTTTGGCTTAATTTGATTTTCTGCAAATTGGAAAACTCTCATTTTAATTTTTAATTGTTACTCTTTATTTGGGATTTTTCAAAAATAATCGCTGAAATTGTGAGATTATTTGATTTTCTACTTTTTTTTTTGGTAATTTAATTTTTGGTTAGTGAATGCAAGTTTATGACATTGTGTTAGGTTAGCCGATCCGATTAATTATTAATGTTGTTAAGTTGGTGGGATTGGTTGAACAAGAAAGAGGAAAGGGAAGGGCCTGAATGAAAGAATTGGTTTTCTACTGATTCATTGAGGAATGCTTCATGGACTAATTTAACGTGTTGGTAATTGCAAGGTTTTGTTTCCAAACCTTTGTTCCGGATATCCGGGTACAATGCGTGCACCATCATTGCTTGCACAATGTTTGCCCGGCTTGGTGCCTCAAGACAAAGGAAGTCAAAGCGTGTCCTCTATTTCGGAGAGGGATTCGCACCTCCCTTCACCAGCTGTTGAGATTATCCCTTCGAAGGTATGATCCTATCGAACCCTTCAACCATTTGTGATCGTAATTCTACATGTATGACCCAAGAAATATAAACGTTATTGTCAGTTTTTGTTCGGTTTGAAAAGGTAAGGGTTTGTTGTTCGAAATTTTGTTGGAAGAGAGGGGGCTAATAAGTTATATTTGTATTGTGACATTGTTCCATTTATACACCGCAGACTGCTCACCCGTACAAGTATGCTGGTGAGAATATTGACTTGCAAGGACTCAATGTCTTCAAGGTATGTCTTTCTTCTCCTATTTGGTCTGGTCTTTATACCTTGGCTTGGTAGAAAAGCATCGTTAGGTCATTAGTTTATGGAAGATTAGTTGCAGACTGAAATTGATTATAAATTAACTATCCCGATTAGACATTTCTGTTTCCAATTAAACCTTTTGCTATGGAAAGTCGCAATCTTTTGCCATGGTTCCTTGTCTCTTCTAGAAGTCTCTTTTATTTTGGTGCTCGATCCTTTTGATTTTTCCCTGCGACCTGCTTTTTTAAAAGATGAATATTAAATTATATGGCTTGTGGAATTTGGCTTGTATTACCTTACTGGACGCATTAATGTCTGGATGGATTAATTATCATGGAAAAGCAGCATAGCTAACAAATCATGGAGCATTTTGCATTATTGTTGTTGAAAAGTATGTTGATAAGTTGATTGATGGCTTTCTCAATCTTTAATAGGGGAGAGTTAGTGTTTCTGATATCATCGGCTTCAATGGTTCAGAGATGATATCCATAAAACCATATGGTATGGACACCGGACATTGCATTCCAATAAAGTGAAGATTTCAATTCAAATTTGGCTGTCGTCATATGATAAAGTCCCAAGAGCAGTCTCTTTAGATCTAAAGAACTATCTACTTACTTTATCTGAGATTAAAACTGGATATTCATTTACTGCGCAGGGCATCTGAAATCTTGGGATAGCTCCATTGATCTTGTTAATGTCCTTAAGCATGAGATTCGAGATGGGCAAGTGAGCTTTCGAGGAAAAAGGGTGCTTGAGGTAGTATATCTTGCTCTTTCATGCTTCAGTTCAGTTTTCTTTTTACTTGTTCTTGACTTTTAAACTTTGCTCCGAGTGCCGTGATTATAACTTTGTATCTCTTGATATATCATTAAATTTCACCCGGTGACTATTTGTAATCAAGGTTTGGTCGATATTAAAAATGACACTATTATAATAGTGCTTAATTTGAATAATCATTTGTTCTCATGTTTTCCCAGAGGCCTGAAAGTTTTGCAATTTGTTCTCTACAAGAGACCACATCTAAAACAGTGCTACATCTAATTATGTTCGCCGAAATGTTCTCTAAATTACTTTTTCTTGGGTAAATATTACGGATCCAGATAAGCAACTAAAATGTGCTTAAATGTGTACTCTATTTCTATTGAATTATGTTGATAAAGTTTGCCATTGTCACTTCCTGCAAGTATGTGGTTGTAATAAGCCTCAACACTCCTTTGCTACTCCATCGTTAAACTTCCTTTCGCTAATCAGTTACTAATTGATCAGTGGCTTAATCTTTTTACCTGCTGATTCTTGCAGTTGGGTTGCGGCTATGGCCTTCCAGGGATTTTTGCATGCCTAAAGGTATGCTATTATTTATGGCTTTTTTTGTCCCATTTTCTTTTGATTTCACCCCATGCTGATATCATTCCTTTTCTTTAAATAACCGATGTCTAAATTTTTTTCAAATACGGCGCTTTGGGAAGAAAATTGCTTGAGTGATGACATAACATTTCCTGTTGCAAGAATATTAACCATTTTGCTCACGTGAAATGTTGGTGGTTAAAATTTCCCATAGATGGGATTATTTGGATGGGGTTTTATGTTAATTTCAATGTCATTGGGATAAAATATGAGTGCATACGTCTTCATAGCAGCTTCGTTCAAGGTCTAATAAATTCCCAGCCAAATACGTGAAACAATTAAACCAAAAGAAAATGAAATAACGGGTGAAAAACAATTCGGTAAAAGGTCGTACCCAGTGCACAAGACTCCCGCTTTACGCAAGGTCTGGGAGAGGTAAATGTCGGCTAGCCTTACCCCCATTTTATGGAGAGGCTGCTCCCAAGTCTCGAACCCGAGACCTACCGCTCATGGGCGAAGGCACTTGCCATCGCACCAAGTGCGACCTCTATAGGCTTTGGAACATATTTGAAGAAGTTGATTTATAATGTTTGTCTAATCTGACTCATTTATTCATAGGGAGCTTCCACGGTGCACTTTCAAGACCTGAATGCAGAAACCATTAGATGCACAACTATACCAAATGTCCTAGCCAATCTTGAGCAGGCTCGAGACAGGCAGAGCCGGCAGACAGAAAGCCCTCTGACTCCATCAAGACAAACTGTGACCCAGTCAGTGCATTTTTATGCTGGTGACTGGGAAGAACTTCCCACAGTCTTGTCTATTGTAAGGAATGATGGTGAAGCATCAACAGGAATGAATCTCAGCTTCTCTGAGGAGGATTTTATGGATGGATGTAGCAGCCAAGACGGTAGCATCTTGGCACGAGAATCCTCCTCAAGGCGATCGAGGAAGCTTTCAGGAAGCCGGGCATGGGAGAGGGCTAGCGAGACAGAACAAGGAGGCGGATATGATATTATCTTGCTGACAGAGATCCCATATTCTTTGACCTCGTTGAAGAAACTTTATGCACTCATAAAGAAGGTCAGTTTCTTTGCCCCTTTCTACATTTTACGTGAAGACATTGAAGCAACATGTTTGTTATGTATTCTTCCAATTTTTCATACGAACAAACTATTTATGCTGTTTTATTTTTGCTTTGAAATTATCAGTGTTTGAGGCCCCCATATGGAGTGCTGTACTTGGCCACAAAAAGGAACTACGTTGGCTTCAATAGCGGAGCTCGGCATCTCAGAAGCCTGGTAGATGAAGAAGGCATTTTCGGAGCCCATCTAGTGAAGGAGATGGCTGATAGAGATGTATGGAAGTTTTTTTCCAAGTGAACTAAAAGTACAGAAGTCAGTAATAAGGAAGTCAAAATATTAAAGATAAGCGGAATAGGATCGTATCCGGAACCTCTTTGTGAGGATCTTAGGGATAAGTTCATCCTATCTGTTTATTAGTTATCCTGCAGTCAGAAATCATTTTGAAGTTTTTATTTAAAATTGAACACAAACAGTACCTAACGACCGCACGATGTATAATGAACGGGTAAGATGAATTAATTCTTAGGATCCTCACAAAGGGGATTCGGAGAGGATCCTCATCCAAGATTAGCCGACAAGTGTCTAATGTTTTCTTCCTTTTTTTTTAAATACATTTATTTGTTTGAAGAAAATACATTTATTCTTTAATATAGTGTAAATTAGGACAACTCCGCCCATGTCTTACATGGCCGGTCCCAAGCCCGGATAAAGGAGGAGGGGGAGGGCGTCAGGTAGTCGACAGCCGGCACTCCATGATCACGTCGAATCCTTATGAAAATGAATCCAGAACAAAATCGCGCTAAAGCTAGGGCGTCACCCGTAAGTGGCGCGCTGTGTGGCCCGAGCACAGTGATAAGTGAGCAAGGGTCGCTGTATCTCCATCGGCATCCGGATGCAGTGTTAAATGAGCAAGGGGGCCATAGAAACTTCTTTTCGAACGACTCCACTCAAAGTTGTTTGGGAGCATATGCTCCTATCAACTTTACCCGGGACACACAAAAGAAGTACTTTGATCCTATTAGACGGGGGAGGGTGAAGAAGCTAGGACAGAAGGGTAGAGTTCAAGAGAGCAAAATGCGTTTAGGAACGTGGAATATAGGAACCTTAACGGGAAAATCTATGGAAGTAGTGGAAGTTATGGTGAGGAGAAGGATAAATATTATGTGCCTACAAGAAACTAAGTGGGTTGGTAGTAAGGCAAAGGATCTAGAAAACTCAGGGTTTAAACTTTGGTATTCGGGCACAAATAGAACGAGAAACGGTGTTGGCATCATCGTGGACAAGACCTTGGTACAAGATGTTGTAGATGTCAAGAGGGTAGGAGATAGAATCATGGCAATCAAGATTGTAATAGGACAAGAACTTATCAATGTGATTAGTGCGTACGCACCTCAAGTAGGGTTGGATACGAGTTCGAAGGAGAAATTTTGGGAAGATCTTGGAGACTTGGTGCAAGGAATTGCTCAGACGGAGAAGTTATTTATAGGAGGAGATTTAAATGGACACGTGGGCAGGGAGACAGGCAACTATGGAGGTTTTCATGGTGGCCATGGTTTTGGGGAGAGAAACGAGGATGGGGAAGCTATCTTGGATTTTGCAATGGCATATGATCTCTTCTTAGCCAACACCTTCTTTAAGAAGAGAGAAGAACATGTGATCACCTACAAGAGTGGGTCGTCAAAAACACAAATAGATTTTCTTCTAATGAGGAAAGGGGATCGTATAACTTGTAAGGATTGCAAAGTTATACCAGGAGAGAGCGTGGCTAATCAACATCGCTTGTTGGTGATGGATGTACATATCAAAAGAGTAAGACAAAAGAACAAGACTTGGAAGTGCCCAAGGACTAGATGGTGGAATCTAAAAGAAGAAAAACAAGTCATTTTCAAAGAGAAGGTAATCACCCAATGTGTGTGGGATAGAGAGGGGGAAGCTAGCCAAATGTGGGATTCCATGGCTAGTTGTATCCGAAAAGTAGCAAAAGAGGTATTAGGAGAGTCCAAGGGCTTTGCCCCACATCAAAAGGAATCTTGGTGGTGGAATGAGGAGGTACAAACAAAGGTGAAGGCTAAGAAGGAATGCTGTAAAGCCTTATACAAGGAGAGGACCGATGAAAATGGTGAAAGGTATAGAAAAGCGAAGCAAGAGGCGAAGAAAGCTGTCAGAGAAGCTAAGTTAGCGGCTTACGACGATATGTATAAACGACTAGATACCAAAGAAGGAGAGTTGGATATCTATAAACTATCTAGAGCAAGGGAAAAGAAGACAAGGGACCTAAACCAAGTGAGGTGCATCAAGGATGAAGATGGAAATGTTCTTGCTACAGAGAACGCGGTTAAAGACAGATGGAGAGGTTATTTTCATAATCTTTTCAATGAAGGACATGAAATGAGTGCTTCTTTAGGGGAGTTGAGTAACTCAGAAGAGTGTAGAAACTACTCTTTTTTATCGTCGAATCCGGAAGGAAGAAGTGGTTGTAGCTTTGAAGAAGATGAAGCATAAAAAAAGCAATAGGCCCAGACAATATACCAATTGAAGTGTGGAAACTTTTGGGAGAGACAGGTATAACATGGCTCACTGACCTTTTCAATAGGATTTTGAAAACGAAGAAGATGCCAAATGAGTGGCGAACGAGCACTTTGGTGCCTATCTACAAGAATAAGGGCGACGTACAAAATTGCATGAACTATAGGGGTATTAAGCTAATGAGTCATACAATGAAGCTCTGGGAGAGAGTCATTGAGCATAGATTGAGGCAAGAGACACGGGTTTCGGACAACCAATTCGGGTTCATGCCAGGGCGCTCAACCATGGAGGCAATCTATCTCTTACGAAGATTGATGGAAAGATATAGAGATGGGAAAAAGGATTTACACATGGTCTTTATAGATTTGGAAAAAGCGTATGATAGGGTCCCAAGAGACATTCTTTGGAGGATTTTAGAGAAAGAAAGGAGTACGAGTAGCATATATCCAAGCTATAAAGGATATGTATGAAGGAGCAAAGACTGCCGTAAGAACTCATGAAGGACAAACCGAAAGCTTTCCCATAACTGTAGGATTACATCAAGGCTCATCCTTAAGTCCTTACCTTTTTGCGTTGGTAATGGATGAGTTAACAGGACATATTCAAGATGATATTCCTTGGTGTATGCTTTTCGCAGACGATATAGTGTTGATAGATGAAACTCAGGAAGGGGTAAATGCAAAGCTTAACCTTTGGAGAGAAGTGTTGGAATCTAAAGGTCTTCGCCTAAGCCGATCAAAGACAGAATATATGGAGTGCAAGTTCAGTGCAAATGGAGGCCAAAACGAGTTAGGGGTGAGGATCGGAGATCAAGAAATACCAAAGAGCGACCATTTTCGTTACCTAGGATCTATCTTGCAAAAGAACGGAGAATTAGATGGAGATCTCAACCATAGAATACAAGCTGGATGGATGAAGTGGAAGAGTGCATCCGGCGTGTTTGTGTGACCGCCGTATGCCACTGAAGCTCAAGGGAAAATTTTATAGGACGGCAATAAGGCCGGCGATGCTGTATGGCACACAGAATGTTGGGCGGTGAAACATCAACACGTACACAAAATGGGGTGTAGCGGAGATGAGGATGCTTCGTTGGATGTGTGGGCACACGAGAAAGGATAAGATTAGGAATGAGGATATCCGGGGTAAAGTAGGAGTAGCCGAAATTGAAGGAAAGATGAGAGAAAATCGGTTACGGTGGTTTGGACATGTGCAAAGAAGGCCTACTGACGTTCCGATTAGAAGATGCGACTGTGGGACAGAGGTTCAGGGCCGAAGGGGTAGAGGAAGACCTAGGAAAACTTTGGAAGAGACTCTAAGAAAAGACTTAGAGTACTTGGATCTAACGAAGGACATGACACAGGATCGATCGAGCACAATGGCGTTCTAAGATTCATATAGCCGATCCCACTCAGTGACTTGGATTTTCCAAGTCTCCAACCGAGAAGTTTTCCTCACTCGGGAAATTAAGGGAACACTACCCCAACCTACATGCTCCACTCAGAAAGCTTCAACATACAAGCTTCAACAAAAGAAAATTCAAAGAACTTAGCGAAGAAGGCTTTGGTGTATTTAACACAATACGTTGAAATGAAGGAAAGCTTATTTATTGATATCCCCGATAAGCTACAAATATGTACATATGCATGAGTCAAAATAAACACACAAGAGGGAGCCTTCACAAAGGTTGCTTAGGAGAAGTCTCAGCAGTCGGTAGAGCCCCAGAAAGAGAAGGCAGAGGGGATCATTTGGAGCCTCAGTACTGGACAGAACCCTAGAAGGAGGAGGCATCAGAGGTTGATCATTCGGAGCTTCATTATGCGGTACAGCCCCAGAAGACGAAGGCAATAAATGCCTTTGGAACAAACCCACAAATCTCTGATGATCAAGTAAAACCTGACCATCAGTTTTCCTTCATCTGGTCAAGCTTCCTCTTCATGTTTGTAGCATAGTCATGTGCGAGCCGGTGCAACTGTTTATTCTCATCATGCTTGAGCCCCCTAATCTCCTGTTTGAGACTCATCACTTCAGCCGCCAATGATTCAACTTGGCGGGTTCGAGCAAATAGGCGTTGGGTCATATTAGACACAGAACCTGCACACTGAACACTGAGAGCCAGCGAATCCTTAACAGCTAACTCATCAGACCGTTTGGAAAGTAGTCTGTTATCTTTGGGAGTGAGAAGGTTCCTGGCCACCACCGCAGCGGTCATATCATTCTTCATCACGGAATCCCCAACGGTAAGAGGACCAGTAAGGGAGACGAAGGATGGGCGCCATATGTTGTCTGGAGAAGGCGGGGCTGCCTCTTCAACAAGGTTCAAGTCAAAACGACGGTCGGAGGGGCCAGACATTTTCAAAGGTGTTGAAGAGAGAAGAGGTCGGGCAAATCAAGATCTTAGAAGTGCAAGAATGAAGCTTCTATTGGTGGAGATTCAAGTGTGCTTTGGAACTTAATGCCAGCCCCTATAAAAATCTGCACTCGACGGAGCTTCAGAAATCGAAGAGGCGCCTGCTCAGAAATCGAAGAGGCGTTTGCTTTCTCAAAAGTTGGGCTGCTTAGAGATCACGAGGGTTGATCTCAGAAATCGAAGAGGCGTTTGCTTTCTCAAAAGTTGGGCTGCTCAAAGACCACGAAGGCCGATCTTAGAAATCGAAGAGGCGCTCGCTTTCTCAAAAGCTGGGCTCCCCAGAGACCACGAGGGCCGATCTCAGAAATCGAAGAGGCACCTACTTTTCCAGCCTTGTCAGCACCTGTCACACGCACACTCAGCTTTGCGGAAATTATGGGCATTCTGTCGAAGACTTTTTGGGGAAGTAGAAAACACATGAATCTTACTGTTCAATCACCCACTTCCCACACGCAACAATAGCTCACGGGTACCACAGATAACTTTGCCAAAGTTCTCTGCCAAAGTTGAGCACGTGAAGCTTGCAGCTCCTACTACATCGCTCTGACCAAGAAGGGTAAAAGAATAGCAAAGAAACAACACTAACAAAGTTTAGACCCATAATTTTTTGAAGGTCTAGCTACCATATTATTACCCACAAGGG